GGATCGGTAATTGATAATGTTTGGTGTTTGAGTTTGTGTTGGTATTTCTTCTCGAGTATACATATCTCATGAATTCGTGATCACATTTCTCATATTTCATAGATTACAGAACAGTATTTGTTTCTTATCAAGTTTACTGTTTGTCAACTGGTAAGTCCTTTCCTTAAAATGAACCGATTGGACTAACGTTGAATCCTAGCGAGAGGTTTCACTGAAACACCAGATTCCTCACACGAAGTCTCTTGAGGAAAAGACGTTTGCTTGAATATTGATAATTGATATATCTATCGCCTAGAATAAGTATATATACACTTGGACTTGTTGTGTTCCTAGGCTGGGAAGCTCGGAAGCTAGTTGTTTGATGTACTTCAGGGGTACATACAGAGAGAGGGGGGGGGTAGAGAGAGAGAGAAAGAGAGATACACGTTCGAAGAGTTTGAAATGTAGTAGTCTTGTTGTCAGAACCTGTGATTATTTGTTGTTTTATGTAAAACTTGACGATATCAATTCCGCATCCAGTGTCGGGTAAGCAGTAAAAAAAAATCATAAAAAAATAAAGAGAAATAGAGAAAAAAAAATGCTCTGTCTACTCAGTAATTTTATGAGACGCGGGTTGGCGGGCTGTCCTTTTAAGTTACTGCGGTTTGTTTGTTCTCTCTCTCCTTCTCTGGCTTTTGTCTATTCGTCTCTTCTCTTTCTCTCTTTATCTGTCTATTCGTCCACTTTCCCATTTTTTTGTTTCATTTTGGTTCTATCTTTTTTCCTTCCTCTCTCTTGCCTTCTTTCCCTTCCTCTCTCCCATCCTATTTGTCTTTTTCTCCCTTCCTCTATCTCTCATTTTATCCCTTCCTCTATGTCTCCTTTTCTCCCTTCCTATATCTCTCTTTTTCTCTCATCCTCTATCTCTCTTTTTCTTCCTTCCTCTATTTCTCTTTTTCTCTCTTCCTCTATCTCTGTTTCTTCCTTCTTCCATTTTATTTTTGCTCTCTCCCTCGATCCTTCCTCCCTCTCTCCCTTGTTCCCTTCTTCTCAGTTTCATTCCCTGCTTCCTTCTTTTCTCCCTCTCTTTTTCTCTCGTTCCCTCCCTCTTTCCTTCTCTCCCTCCTTACATTATTTCCTCCTTTCCTCCCTCCCTCCCTTATCCTCTCCTGCTCCCTTCCCTTTCCCCCTCTTAGAAATTCTCTCCCTTTCTTTTCCTCCCTCCCTTATCCTCTCCTTCTCCTTCCTTACTTTCCCCCTCTTCCAAATTTCCTTCCTTTCTCTTGTCCTCCCTCCCTGCCTTCCTCGCTATGAACCGCAGGCTGACCACGCGCCGGCATCCTCCCTGCCTGACGTCGCGAGGGAGACTGCCAAGACCTCGGCGCCGCCTCCGGAGAACCTGTGGCGTTGGCGGGAAACGGCAGGTCCTGTGCGGGAACTGTTTGATATTTTCTCTTCTTTCTTACAGTCCCTGTTATATCTTTGTTTGTATTTCTTTTGGTCTCTGATATGTGTTTGATGTTTATTTACTTGTATTTCTATCTTTTATTGCTTTCCTGTATTTAGTTTGTGTTTTATCTGAGGCGCAGAACACTACGCGAGCCACACGTCATGCAGCGCGTCGGGCAACCTCAGTGTTACGACTCTCCTATATTCTGTATTTTTCTGTAAAGCGAACTCAAGATGAAATCTTTCCCTTCCCTCCTTTCTTCCTTCTCTCTCTCTCCTTTATTCCTCTTTCTCCCTTATCTTCCCATCTCTCCTTCCTTTTCCTTTTCCTTTATCCCTTATTTCTCCCTTTCCCTCCCATCTCTCCTTCCTTTTTCCCTTGACTTTATTCCCTCTTCCTCCTTTTCCCTCCCTCCACCCTTCCTCTTCCCCTCCTCTCATTCCATCCCTCGTCCCTCATTCACTTTCCCTCCTCCAGGCGCCTCCGGCCATTCAGGAGAGTACCCCTCCCTACCCCCTCAGTTCTCGACCTCCTTTAGATGCCTTCAAGCCCCCTCTGCTCGAAACCTCGCGTCCTTGTGTCACCATGTACATGTACGTTAGTAAACACTATTGAAATTTTTTTAGTAAAGTGAAAACTAAATTAACTTGAAGCACTCCCAGAGCGCATACCTCCGTCAAGGCAATAGGGTCACTGATGCAATAAAACATTCACACAAATAATTACACTAAAATCACCTCTTTCTCGACATCCGGTGACATAGTCTCCTTGGAGGAGGTAATAATGATAATAATAATAGTCAGCCCTATCTCCAAGGCAATAGGGGTGTCAACGCTGTGCAGAGCCGGATGGGTTGGGCTTCACACCTAGGCAATGCAGCCGCCTTACTTCCTGGCTTCGCACCTTCCTTACCAGCCCAAGACTTTCTCTTCCGGCCCCTCGCCACGCCCGGAAGAATGGACGCCCAAAGAATAGGGTCCGAGGCACCTCCGCCAGCAGGACAAGGAGGCGCTGCATGTAAGGACGTCTCGTCAGGCAGAGAGGCAGAGAGGACCAGAGGCAGACCAAGACCTAGCAGAGCAGTCACAGGGCAGGAGGCCTCACTCTCCGTCCTCGGGGCGCGGTCATTCTCAGAGGTCACACCTTTACCTCTCTCAGTATACCAGCAAGACAAGACCCCTTTCATTCTCCACCACCCATACCCCCCCCCCCCAACTTCTTCACAAAGCGTAATGATGCAATTTTTTTTTTTTTTTTTTTTTTTTTAATTCTTGGATCCGGATCACCACCAAAATTTGATGTCATCTGTTAGGCTAAGCCACACCTGGTGTGAAAACTTCATAAAGACCTCAAAACAAATCAACCAACGCTAATAAAAACATGACCTCCTTGGCAATAAAGGAAGACGGGATCGTGCAGTCAGGAAGACAGGATTTCGTCCGTGACCCAGAACGTGCGTGCGTACAAGCGCCCCAGTGTCCTCAAAAGCAAACGCTTGGGAAATGCCAACGAAAATCAGATATATAATTCAATATCAACTTATAATCTGTAGTTTACCTTCCTTGCACATTTCTTTAAGAATAAGATTCAGTGCGTAAATACAAAATTCCGAAGTATAATCCCTGATGAAAATAATATATTTTCAACGGAAACTCCAGAAGATTGCCCGGCATCTGCGAGAGCGGTGCAAAGCGTCTTCAACCCAGATTTCTGTGCGTTCTTGACCGTGAAAACAAAACAAATATTCAACAAAGGAGAACAAAAATAAAAATACTCTCTTGGTTATATTAAGCTTTGATTTCCATTGTTATCTATTAACCTATGAAATTGACAAAAAAAAGTCTGCCTTGTTGAAATAAAAGTGGATTAAATCACTCAGATTCATGAATTTATCTTTCTCTCTTTCCTCCTTTTTGCTCCCAGTCCGTGTTCGTGCAACAACAAGAAAACCGTTTAAAAGAGAGATAAACAGATAGACAAATAGATTGAGAGAGAGAGAGAGAGAGTGACAAACAGACAGACACTCAGAGAGAGAGAGAGGTGGGGGGGAGGGGAGAGACAGACAAACAAAAACAGAAAGAAGGATTGAGAGAGAGAAAGAGACAGTTAAAAACAAATAGAATGAGACGGAGACAGAACGAGGTAAAGGAAGAGAAAGAGAGGCAGAAACAGAGAGGGAGAGGGAAAGAGAGAGAGAGAGTGAGTGAGGGAGAGGGAAAGAGAGAGAGAGAGGCTAAAGAGCAGAACAATTTGGTTCTTGCCAAGAACAACGTATGAAAGTAGAACGGGCGGAGAGTACGTTAGTGGTCACATGTGCGTAAATGTTCAAGCCGTGTTTGTGTTTGCGGTGCACATGTATGACTGTTTGTGTGTAGGTTTTGTGTGTATCAATGTATTATGGATAACTGTGTGCATTAGCGTGTAAGTTTATGTATGTTTTGTCTGTGAGTATGTGTGTGGCTTTTCTCTGTTGTTTTTTGTGTTTATAAGTATGTTTAAATCTGTATGACCGTGTGTGTGTGTGTGTTCAATGGAATGGACTTGCATGTTTATTTCGTATGTGTGTTTATATTTAATAGTTTGGCATTTCGAGTGTAGTTCTAAAAATCTTTAATGTGTTAAAAGGCTAAATGTCATGAGAGAGAGCGAGAGCGTGTGTGTGTTTGTTTGTCTGTGTGGGCGTTTGTGAGTGTGTGTGTGTTTGTTTGTTTGTGTGTTTGTGTTTTGTGTGCGGTATGTATGTGTGTATGTGTGTGTGCGTGTGCGTGAAAATAGATTCTACGACGAACATCTACTAAAAATCTACTAACGAGTATCTACTAAAAAAACGTTACTGCGCCGCACCTTCTTTTCTCGTCTTTCGCCCCCTCCTTTCCCCTTTCTTCCATTCTCCTCCCCTTCCCTTGAATTCCCCTCTGTTCTTGGCATTTCTTTCTCTCATTTTCTTCTCTATCTCCTTCTTTAACCCATTCTTTCCCATCCTTATTTCTTTGCAGTCTTTCTCCACCCCCTTCCTTCCTTTTTTTCCTCAATTTCCTTTCATTATTCTCCTCTTCCCCTTGCCTTTTTTCCAACCCTTTCTTCACTTCCGTCTGCCCTTACCCATTCTTCCTCACTTCCCCCTTCGTTCACTTCCCTTCTATCTCCCCTTTCAACTGTTTCTTTTCCTCTTACTCATCCTTCCTCATTCCCCCTTCGCTCTCATCCTTCCCCCTTTTCTTCTCTTTCATGTAACCATCCCTCCTTCCTTCTTCATTGCCTTTTCCTTCCATTCCCTTCCTTCCCCGTCTTCCCTCATTCCCTACCCTTCCCTTTCCCTTTACCCATCCTTCTTCCATTCTCCCTTCGCTCCCTCCCTTTCCCTTCCGTTCCCTTCCCTTCTCACACTTCAATGTTTTCCCAAACCTCCCCCACTTTTTGGCACGTGAGAAGCTGCGCTGGTCAAGGGGGAAGGGGGAGTGGGGATGGGTTAGGTGGGGGTGGAGGTAGAAATCCAAGGGGGAGTAGGGGGGAGAGGGGGTATGCCAAGGGGGTGTTAGTTGGGAGGGGTGTAGACTTTGGGGCTAAAACTCGTTGCGTTCTCGCCAGACTGTGGTTCGTTTGACGTGAGTTTAGAGGTAGTTAGCTGTCTGTGACTGAGAACCGCTGAATAGAAAATAAAAATCGCTGTAAATATTCCTTTGAGAAACACAATACAGAAAATTGGAAATCAAATCTAGAGAACATAGAAAAAAGGGGGAAAATCACTGAAAACAACAGGATATTTGATTTGGAAAAGATGAAAAACGGAGATAAATAGATATATATTTCACCTGAGTGCACTGTGGGAGAACCAGGAGGAGGCATGGCTGTCAACACAAAGACGCTGAAAGAGATAAGACGATAATCACTGATAAGAATCCTGTGTGAAGAACAAGAACAAGAAGGAAAGGACGAAGAAGAGGAAGACCACGAAGAAGTATAATAAGTATAACAAGAAGGAGGAGACGCAGAAAAATAAAGAGGCATAGCATATAGAAAAGAAGCAAGAGAAGAAAAGGAAAAAAAAACATAGTAGACGAAAGGGAAGGAAAATAAACAAGCAGAAAAACCGGAAAGGAAGAAGAAAAGAAGCCGTAGCAATGGCCAAGGACCCAACGAAAGCAATCCCGGACCACAGCGCCCGCAGCAGCGACCTCGAGCTGAGTGTCTCGCGGCCGGACGAGGCTGACCCCGAGAAGACCAAGCAGGAGCGCCACGTAAGTTCCTTCTCTGTTTCGTGAAGGTGATGTTGTTGCTGATTTGAGTACGGGTTATCGGGGTTATTTTAGAAGGGCATTTGTGTTGTGTAGAAGATGGATAGAGGAAGATGCATGTTGTGTCTTTCACCATTTTCGTTGTTGTTGTTTTTTTCTCTCGCTCTCTTTCATTCTCCCTTTTCTATTTATTTCTTCATTTATCTTTTGCCTTTCTCTTCCTCTTACATACTTTTGGCAGTTAAATCATAGGCCCTAAGTTACGTCAAGAATGACAGCACTAATAAATGCTACTTGATTATGAAATTACATGATAAAGTAAAACCAGTCAAGGCGGGAGGTGGCTGGTTTTACTCAATGGTTGTTGACAGCAGTTAGATATGGTCTACTTAGATTATTTCCACTTGTAACATTTATTAGCAAACTAATTTAATGGGTTTTGTTTAAAAAAAAAAAAATAAAGAAATAAAAAAAATAAAAAAAAGACAGTTACCCCTCATAGGCCATATTCCCTAGATAACAAATAATATTTATCTTCTCCTACCCCAAGGGACAACATGTATTAAATAAATTGTCTTCGACATGAAATCATAACAAGAAAGTGAAATTAAAATTATAGCTGGACTGGTGGGGGGGGGGGGTTGGGCCCATCTCCCAACGGTTCATTTCCTCGCCACCTGGCACAGCCCTACATGAGCTATCACGGTCCTGACACCAGCATATCCGGATCTCTCCTCTCCCACGAGATCCTCGCTCCGACGGTCAGAGAGGGATGGGCGATGCGGGTCCTTGTCGAGATGTTGACGCTCTCCAACATGGCTGCCGGGAAGCGTCCTCGGGCGGCCGGCCACCGCGTCCATCCTCATTCTGTTTCGAGGAGTAGCCATCGGCAGACTCATTATATAGCACACATATATATGCACTCCCCCTCGTTATTGTACGTTACAATACCTGTCACCTGAATTTAACCGTGAATTCCGCCCTCGACGAGGGGCGTCTCTCTCTCTCCTGCCTGTTTCGAGGAGTCGCCTTCGGCAGACTGCCTCTCCAGCAGCACCCTGCCCTCAGGCGGGCCGATGTTGTCAGCTTTCCCCTTAGCAACAGACTCTTCCCTCAAAAATATGCCCAGTCCAGTACAATCAACAAGAGAAACATATCACTAATGACCTATTTATGATTTACTGGGCATTGTTTACGTAAAGCTCTCTGTGACTTCAAAGTCCTCGCCGCAAGCACGTACCGACTGAACAAGTTGGGTGTAGGTGTGTATACATATATATTCAACAAAGTTGTTTTTCGTCTTTCAACATTTTGCTGTTCTGGATATGGGATAAGGAGGTTTTCACCTTAGTATCTAAAACTCGATATTGTCAGCTGGTTTCTCACATTTCGACAATAAAACCGTTCCATTTCCTCAGTTCGTAGAAATACCAAAAACTTTATTGAATTCCCATAAAAAACATTCAGTTCACTTCCCAAATGATAGATTCACAGAGACGAAAATGTTATGTAAATGAACAGGTAAGCAAATCAATAGGTGAACCATTATTCATACATACATGTATATATACATACGAACACGCGTATGTATATATACATTAATTACATATATACAAACATAAAGTGGTAAAGGACTCTAAAAAACAATAAACACTAAAAAAATAAATAGATAAATACAAAAAATCTAAAATAACACGAATCAACAAAATCCGCAATCACGTGTCCGAATTCATTTCCTTACAGAATGGCGGCGACTTCGACGAGGCGCTGGAACTCTGCGGGTCTTGGGGTTTGTGGCAGAAACTCGTTTTCTTCATCACGGATTTCTCTCAAGTATTCTGCGCCATCCACGCTGTGTCTTCGGGTTAGTTGAATCATTATTTTTATCTCCCTTTTTTATTTGATTTGGTTAGGAATTTTTATTACGTAATATTGATTTTTTATGATTTTTGTGGAAGCTGTCAGAAACGTAATCGGATACAGTGACGGAGGGGTGTGTTTATTTACTTTCTGTTTGTTTGTTTTTTATTCAGTTTCATTTTACTTGAATAAATATATAACATTTATATATGCTATACTATGGCGCACTTGCATCATCTTGCGATTTTATAACTATGAATAGACCATTGAATTTCTGTAAGGGAATGGTGGTAATGCAAGAACTGTAAAAGCACCACATAATGAATTATGCAAAAAAAAATGGACCTTACTTCCAAAGAAAAACAAGAAAACGACTAGAAGCACATAAAAAATACACAAACACCAGTAACAGTACTACGTATATAAATACAACTCGACGACAGACAACCCACGATGATGAAAACAAAAAGGAAAGGATATGTGTAAATGTATACTCGTATGAAAATGACAAATAAAAAGACAAGCAAATGGCAAAACAGTAGACTCAGCGAGCTCTGGCAGCAAAGCAGCGCTATTCTCGAAAAAAATAACTTTCGTACAAATTAGGAAAAGTAAACAACACGCTAGCCAAGAGCACAAAGAAACAGGTGGATAAATAGAAATAAGAGGTAAATGTGCAAATTAGTCATTTGTTTACTGGTCTATCTATTCAGCTAATAATTAATTCACCTATCTATTTATCTGTCCAGCTATCTGTCTATATATCTGTATATCCATCCATATATCCATCTATCAATTTATCCATCCATCCACCCATTCATCCATCCATCCATCCATCCATCCATCCATCCATCCATCCATCCATCCATCCACCCATACATCCATCCATTAATCTATTTATCTATCCATCCTTCCATCTAATTACTTATCTCTCTATTTATGTATATAATTACATGTACTTCCTCGTTCACCTGTTATCATTAACTGCCTCTGATTAATTTCTCCTCCATTCGCAATTAAATAAGACCAGTAAAATCAACCAAATGCAGATTCTCATCTCTAGATTAGCTAACGTTTCGAGACATCTTGGACATCCTTCAAGGGCTTTCAAAGTCGTTCCAAGAAGTCCAACGTTTTAGTCCCCTGTTGCTGTTTATGCTGCCGGGAATTCCCCTTTTTATCGCGTTTTCCATTTCTTGTTGTTTCTGGTGTTTTTGTTTGTCTTGTGTTCGTTGTTGGTTTTGTTGTTGTTGTTGTTGTTGTGTCTATAGAGAAAGGTAGAATATCGTTTCTTTAAGTTTTTTTTTTTTTTTTTTTTTTTTTTTTTTTTTTTTTTAGTGTGCGAAACTTTTTGATTTATTGACTTTATCTGTGAGAGTAAAAGCGAGAGTTGTCCACGCGAAACTCAACCACGAGAGCGATGAACAAAATGTACATTATGGCGGAAAATAAATGAAATGAAACGCAGCGACAATGGAAACAGAATTGTATATCGAAGAACCGAGGATTCCTTTTCAAATAAGATATAATACCCATTTTTTTTCTTCTTTTCTTTTTGCTTCGTCTTCGATCAGGAAATTTTCGTGTCTCGGAAACCCTATTCTTTCTTGTTCTATTCCTATACTATATTTATTTTACTTGAGGGCAATTCTTTGCGTCTGGCAGTTTAGTAAGTGAGCAGACGGCAAAAGTCAGATGGACCTCCGAACAAAGAATTCTTAAGGTCTCTACTTTGCCTCTATCTTTCCCCACCCTTTTCTCATTCATTTGCGGCACAGCAAGTGGGAAGGGCGTCAGCTGGCAGCAATGTAAACTATCTGTAATTTAAGGATGATGTTGGTTCTGAAGGCGAGGGTCTGTAAAAGAAATGATTTGGAGCCATTGTATAAACTTTTTATATGGAGTCATCGATAGGTCGATAGACATTTGCAGATAGACATAGGCACTCTAATGAATATATTGTAAGATAGGTAGAGAAACTGAATGACTGATTAACTGGTTAGTAAATAAGTCAATAGATATTTCTTCTTTTCTGGCATGTCGTTAGCAACATGGACTATTGCAATTTGTAAACAAACGAAGTGGAAGATAAGTCAATGAGAACACGGCATCTGATAACTCCTGATGTTTAAGAATTAAATATATAATAATAATAATAATAAACTTGATTTCGTATGAAACAGTTACAGAATATACACAAGGGACAAGAACAATGAAACATGTTTTAAAAATAAAAACAATATTAGGACAATGGAACTGAAGCATGTGTTTGTACGGCTCACATATAAAAAGATGTGGAAGATAAATAAGGAATAAAACTAATATGACAATTTTAGGCATAGTTGTGTTAAAATAATGAAGATAGGATAAAGTTAATATAAAACATAGATGATAAAATAAAGCATGTATGTGCTGAAAGATAAAATTCAATATTTTATCTTTCATGTTTTATAAAACCAATTAATGCTGCATATACGCAATTGACTTCCACTCCCTAAATAGCAACGTGCATTTGATATTACTTATTTTCCTTATTTTTTAATAATATAGTTGCTAGACTCCCACCCTAAGACTCTCACGCAAACCCACAGCGCCCAGACGCCTAATTGTCTTCAAGGTCGGGAGTCCCTTGCTCGCGATACGCAACAGAGACACTGTCTTGTCTACCTATGCTAAACTGCTTTAGAATTTCCTTGTTTATAGTATGTTGACACTTTATTTTCTCTCTTTCTCTCTTTCTCTCTCGCCTTTTCTCTCTTTCTCTCACACTCGCTTTTGTACATAGAGGCAGCACACTGAGAGATGTGGAAAATAAACTACTGAACAATTGCGGTTTAACCTCATTCGTGCATATTCCAAAGTTTCGTAAAATACATTTGCTAGACAACACAGAGCCCGATACGAGAGTCCACATCAAAGGATAAGATGAAGCAAGGGTATTTTAATCCATTCACTGTGCTGTTGATAACTGCAATGGGGACGGCCGTTCGGAGCGAGAACTGTTGTCGAACATCATATTTCTTTAAATGAATAGAAAGAATCACTGCATATATTAGTAAGGGATTGTAGTCCTCACATAAACTTAGCACACAATATCATCAGATAGATACATTATTATTTGTATAATTCATCTTATATTATTGTGATTATCAGAAGTTAACTGCCATTAACCGCTGTCAAAATACTCTTGAGAAAAAGTACATTTCATAGTTGGGTTCAGCAGCCTAAATCGGGGTTTCCTAACCAGAGGTGGTCGCACTTCCTGGGGTCTGAGGCAGCGTTCGAGGGGGTGCGAGGTGGCCTTCGAGGTATTACTCAAAATCAAGAAACAGGAAGAAAATAGCCATTGAATTGAAAATTCATTTGTAATTCATTTGAAAGCGTTAGTTAGTTCTTTGATTTTTGTATGAAGATATTTCAAGTAGGTGTTTATTTTTGTAGGATTTATTAAAATAATCTGGGACATAGTTTCCTGTCCATATGTTTCATTTTTGTTATATTATTAGAAAATGAAAAAGAATATATTCTTTTGTTGATCAAATTGAGCATAAATTCACCTCCTTTATCCTCAAATAAGCTATAAATTCAAGGGCGTGCGAGGACACATTGAAATTCCCGAAGGGGGGCGGGCATAAAAAGGGTTGGCAACCACTGGCCTACATGGAAGGAGATCTACCTGCAGGGTTATACGTACGTACCTGGGTCTCATTTATGACAGCTTCAGGTAATTGTGTGCACACGATGGAAGGGGATATGGGCCTGTGGTTACAACAGTCAGAAATGTTACTCTTTTCATCCTCTGGAACTGAACTAGTTCCACGACGCTTTCTTGGGGAAAAATCATGATTGAAGTAATAGTGTCATGTTGACATGACAGCAGTTTGCCATCATGTCAACATGACACAGACACATACTCAACACTACACCTATGGAGAAAATACGTTGGTAATTGATTTGTTTTACATTTTGCGTTGCTACTATTTTATTTGTTCTTATGTGCGTTTGTATTTATTCAATATAAGTGTAAATAGTCTTATATTGTATTTCTCATATAAGCAGATTCTGATGATAGACATCATTATAATGTGGTGTGTATTATATATATATATAATATATATATATATATATATATATATATATATATATATATATATATATATATATATATATATATATATATATATATATATATATATATATATATATATATATATATATATATATATATATATATATATATATATATATATATATATATATATATATATATATATATATATATATATATATATATATATATATATATATATATATATAATATATATATATATATATATATATTATATATATATATATATAATATATATATATATATGCATATATATATGCATATATATATATATATATATATATAATTATATGTGTGTGTGTGTGTGTGTGTGTGTGTGTGTGTGTGTGTGTGTGTGTGTGTGTGTGTGTGTGTGTGTGTGTGTGTGTGTGTGTGTGTGTGTGTGTGTGTGTGTGTGTGTGTGTGTGTGTGTGTGTGTTGTGTGGTGTGTGTGTGTGTGTGTGTGTGTGTGTGTGTGTGTGTGTTGTATCGCAAAAGCGACAAACAAAGGAGTGGAAGTTCCCTCCGCGTGCACTGAGCGTGGGCGTGGGCGTGAGTGCTGTTCACGCGTCCAGCATGTGGCACAGCACACGAATAGCGCGGGATGACCGGTCGCGCCAGGTCAGCAACCCTCGCGGCCGCTGGGCGCCGACACAGCCTGAGGGTTTCTGGTCGCTCGGTGTGGACGGCCTCCGCATGATTGCTGTGCATTACTGGAACAATATATATTGCAGTAATATGATAAACTATACCGTGTAGCGTATCGGTTGATTCAAATGCGTCTTGTAAGTAAATAGGAACTGCAAGGGGCACTTTATTTACTCCAGACTGGTGATAGATATGGACATACTTCATGTAACACAGTGATAGGAGTACATGTTCATGTGCAGTCACCTCCCATAGACAGGGAAACACTCTGGCAAGGTAGGAAAGCCACGGTGGCGCTCTCCAAGCTGCTTGTGGGGAGTTATGGGTCAGCTGAGTGCTACCAGACATAAACACAACCCCCAAGAGAGAGAAAATTGAGAAGTAATACAAATGCGCATTGATGCCAATATGATAATTTCGTCCTGCCCTGCGTCGACGGGGTATAGACCCGTAATCACGCCAAGCCGTCCGTCTCGCGCGCAGGTCGAGGCGCTCGCCGTCACGGCCGCTCGGAGCTCCTCGGAGAAGGGCAAGTCCCCGCCCTGCCTCGCCTGAGCGCCACTCTGCTCTGGGAGCTGACTGAACACACGTACAATTATGCGTGTCTATTCGTATTAATTGTAATATCTCGCAATAGATACATAAAGAAATGACACACCAATCAGAGAAAACGACCACCTATAAAAGTAAATGAAAAAAATAAAACAAAAAACTACAAAAAACAACTTCACTAAAGAAAAAAAATCAAAATTACAGAAGAAAAAACAAACGAAAAAGAGCAGGTGAATGAAACCACAGAAGAACGTCGGGGAGCATTCCCGGCGCCGGACAAGGGAAACCGAGCCACGCGGGTTACTATTTCCACCTGAACCGCTGCGAGCTGGTCGTCGCGGTAGAGATTAGAAACATTTTCTCGCTGCAACTGGCGACATTCGCACTTTCATCGTCTCTGATTATTTAGCTTAATTTGTGCTTTTGTTTATATATCTTTTCCCATGCGTAGTATTGATCTTCATATTTGTATTCGATGTCCTCTTGCTTTGTTATTCTTATGCTTTGTTTTTCTGTTTCTTTTTTTATTCTTCCACTGTTTCTGTTTCGGAGAAAATATCAATGGCAGCTGCGTCAAAGCGACAGAAAGGCAGTAAGAAATCAAGGGCGACAGAGAGAGAGAGAGAGAGAGAGAGAGAGAGAGAGAGAGAGAGAGAGAGAGAGAGAGAGAGAGAGAGAGAGAGAGAGAGAGAGAGAGAGAGAGAGAGAGAGAGAGAGAGAGAGAGAGAGAGACAGACACAGACAGACAGACAGACAGAGAGGAAGAGAAAGAGAAAGATAGAGAGCGAGATAGAGAAAAAGATAAAGAATGAGTGAGAGAAAAAGGAGACTGAGACAGAGTCCGAAAACGACAGAGATAATGTAAAAGGGAAATAAAGAAAGAGCGATGGAGGAAATAGGAAAAGCAAGAGAAAGAGAAAGTGAACGAAAGAAAATGACCGAAAGAGAGAGAGACCGAGAGACGAAGAGAGAGAAAAAGAGGGGTAGCGAGAAAGAGAGACAAAGAGAGGGAGAGATGAGGAAAGAGGGAACAGAGACGAAAACGAGACGTAAAAGAGAGACAAAGAGAGGGAGAGATGAGGAAGAGGGACAGAGACGAAAACGAGACGTAAGAGAAGAGAGACAGAGAAGAGATGAGGAAAGAGGGAACAGAGACGAAAACGAGACGTAAGAGAAAGAGAGACAAAGAGAGGGAGAGATGAGGAAAGAGGGAACAGAGACGAAAACGAGACGTAAGAGAAAGAGAGACAAAGAGAGGGAGAGATGAGGAAAGAGGGAACAGGACGAAACGAGACAGAGAGACAAAGAGAGGAGAGATGAAAAGAGGAACAGAGACGAAAACGAGACGTAAGAGAAAGAGAGACAAAAGAGAGGGAGAGATGAGGAAAGAGGGAAACAGAGACGAAAACGAGACGTAAGAGAAAGAGAGAGACAAAGAGAGGGAGAGATGAGGAAAGAGGGAACAGAGACGAAACGAGACGTAAGAGAAAAGAGAGACAAAGAGAGGGAGAGATGAGGAAAGAGGAACAGAGACGAAAACGAGACGTAAGAGAAAGAGAGACAAAGAGAGGGAGAGATGAGGAAAGAGGGAACAGAGACGAAAAACGAGACGTAAGAGAAAGAGAGACAAAGAGAGGGAGAGATGAGGAAAGAGGGAACAGAGACGAAAACGAGACGTAAGAGAAAGAGAGAAAAGAGAGGGAGAGATGAGGAAAGAGGGAACAGAGACGAAAACGAGACGTAAGAGAAAGAGAGACAAAGAGAGGGAGAGATGAGGAAAGAGGGAACAGAGACGAAAACGAGACGTAAGAGAAAGAGAGACAAAGAGAGGGAGAGATGAGGAAAGAGGGAACAGAGACGAAAACGAGACGTAAGAGAAAAGAGACAAAGAGAGGGAGAGATGAGGAAAGAGGGAACAGAGACGAAAACGAGACGTAAGAGAAAGAAGAGACAAAGAGAGGGAAGAGATGAGGAAAGAGGGAACAGAGACGAAAACGAGACGTAAGAGAAAGAGAGACAAAGAGAGGGAGAGATGAGGAAAGAGGGAACAGAGACGAAACGAGACGTAAGAGAAAGAGAGACAAAGAGAGGGAGAGATGAGGAAAGAGGGAACAGAGACGAAAACGAGACGTAGAGAAAGAGAGACAAAGAGAGGGAGAGATGAGGAAAGAGGGAACAGAGACGAAAACGAGACGTAAGAGAAAGAGAGACAAAGAGAGGGAGAGATGAGGAAAGAGGGAACAGAGACGAAAACGAGACGTAAGAGAAAGAGAGACAAAGAGAGGGAGAGATGAGGAAAGAGGGAACAGAGACGAAAACGAGACGTAAGCGCACCCAGCCACCCGCGGGTCCTCGCCTCCCCGCGGGTCTGAACCAAAGGCTAAAATTACACGGTCTCTCGCCCGCGTCGCTGACACAGTTTTCCGAACTGCAACTAAAGTAATGGGTAAAATAGATCTTATGATAGATAGTTTTGAATAATTATATAGGTACATACAGGTATGTATATAGAAATGTAGATGGATAGATAGAAAATTTGTTTATATATAGATATGTAAATACATCTTGGTAATGATATAGATAGAAGCAGATATAAATTAAGATTTAGATAAATGAAGATAGAAATGAAGATATAGAGAGATGGATGGATAGATAGTATATTCAATTTTCTCACGAATTCAACCCCTGCATGCACGTGACTACGCACGTACCCGCTAATCGTAGTGAACCTCGTTGCCGCGTTCGCTTATACACTCACAGTTACACAATCCATGGAAACTACCGCTCGACCCGTGTCTATATATATAAACACGCGGTAGGAAAATTCACTCGTTCTCCGTTTTCTAAACCTGAACACAAATCATTAACAAAAAATGTGGAGACATAAATCATTTATGCCTCTCCCTTCAGTTTTCACAAGGTGTTTGCGTTCGCTTGGACGCGTTAATGTTAGTCACCCGCTAAACAGAGCCTTGGAAGGTAATGCTCGTAAACTTTGCTACTAAATTTGTCCCTCAAGCTTGCGTTAATGGTTAATGGTTAAGATAAATGTGCTAGACATCTAAGGTCATATAGCACTATAGGAAAGTATAGTAAAGGGGGATGTCACGTGATAGTTGTTGTGTCAACTATCTATTGCGTTCATTAACACAATCTGTGTATGTATGTGCGAGATTCCCTGCAGTTCTTAAAGTAGCTTTTCATCACCCAGGGACTGACGCCAGATGCCCTTGGCCTCTGCCGCTTCCCCATACACTCCCCAGCCCTCCATCTTCCATCCCTTTCCAATCTCTCTCTCTCTCTCTCTCTCTCTCTCTCTCTCTCTCTCTCTCTCTCTCTCTTCTCTCTCTCTCTCTCTCTCTCTCTCTCTCTCTCTCTCTCTCTCTCTCTCTCTCTCTCTCTCTCTCTCTCTCTCTCTCTCTCTCTCTCTCTCTCTCTCTCTCTCTCTCTCTCTCTCTCTCTCTCTCTCTCTCTCTCTCTCTCTCTCTCTCTCTCTCTCTCTCTCTCTCTCTCTCTCTCTCAGAGCTTGCCTATTTTTATCATGTTAATATTTTTAACTCGCTTAGGTGTGTTTTTGCTTACACATCAATAGTATCATCCTCCTACTTCTATCAATGAATCTATCTTAAATAGACAACTGAATGCCGCATTTACCTAAAGTGATGAATCAAAGCCTTGCATCTATCTGTAATGATGAATGAATCCCTCTCTATCTGTCTAAAGTGACAGATCAAATACTACACCTATCTAAATCTAGAATAAGAAATCAAATCCCCCATATCTATCTAAATATCGAATTAAATCGGCCCTCCTTTTCGTAGCCTTCCTGAGTGCCACGCCGGAGCACTGGTGCCGCGTGCCAGGCGTGAACGCAGAGACAACGGAGCAAGTTTCACTTCTCAAAAATATTTCTATACCTTGGTGAGTCTCCTTAAGTGGTTTGTGTTGTTGTTATTGCTGTGTTGTTAGTAATGGTGGGATTTTTTGTTATGGTTTTGTTTTTTGTAATAGTTTTGATTCAGGAATGATCGCTTTTATCATTACCATGTGGCATTAGTATTCTTATTGTTCGTTGATGTCATTATCATTCAGAATCGTCATTATCCTTATTACTATTATTGCCCCCTCCTTCATCATCATTCCTTGTCATCCTCCTCACCATCCCCCCTCATCAACCTCCCTCACCTTTCTATCACGCTTTCCCTCACCGCCCTCCCTCCCTCACCACCACCACTCCTTCCAGGGACGAGGAGGAGGGCTTCTCCAAATGCACTTACTACGACCACAACTACACGGCTCTGGCCTCGCACCTGTCTGGAGACTCCTGGCAACCCGAGGACCTGGAGGAGCACCTGAGCAACAAGACGAAGACCTGTTCCTCGTGGATCTTCGATGACTCGGTGTTCCAGTCCACGCTGGTGTCTGAGGTGAGAGGGTAGAGGTGGGTGGGAGATGGGAGAGGTGGGAGGGAGGATGAGGTGAGAGGGGAGAAGGAGGCTGGGGTGGGAGGGAAGAGAAGGAGAAGGAAGGATATTGGGCAAGGGGGAAGAGTGGTGGGGTTGAGAGGGGAGAGGGAAAGGGGAGGAGGTTGGGGTGGGAGGGAAGGAGATTGGGCAAGGGTGGAGGGGAGAGGGAGGTTGGGGATGAGAGGGCATAGAGAGCAGGTTTAGTGGTAAACGGGAAGGGGCAATAGGAGAGGGAAGGTTGGGGTGTGAAGATAGAAAGGATACGGAGGGAAAGGATGGGAGGGTTGAGGGGAGCGGGAGGTTGGGGAGGGAAATTGGGCGAGGGAGGAGAGGCAGGGGTGAGAGGGAGGAATCAAAGGGAAGGGAAAGAGAAGACGAGGGGATGGGGAGGCTAGTGGCGGAAGTGGGGAGAGGGACGGAGGGAAAGTATAGGGAGGATTAGGAAAATAATTTAGGAGAAATAGAGAAAAGAGAAGACTAGAAAGATTTTTTTTTTTTTTTTAATCTCACGCCTTCTTTTCACTTCCCGATGCCGCCCACAGTTCAACCTGGTCTGCGGGCGCCGCTGGATGATGGCCACCGTGCAGGCGTCCTACATGAGCGGCCTCCTCGTGGGCTCGCTCGTCATGGGCCAGCTCTCGGACAGGTAGGAGGAGAGCCGAGATGAGAGGCAATAATGAGGAATAATAAAGCCGAGGCTGGAGGAATTTCTATCAGCCTGAGGAAATGTTTTCGTCGTTGTGATGTCTGTTATTAGTATGCAACATAATATTGCGATTTGCGACCAGTAAGAAAATTGGTATTTATTGATGGGGATTCCAAATAGGAAGACATATGATATAATTGCTGAGATTTCTGATATTGGCAAGGGGAACGCTATTTATTGCTGTGATTTCTGAATAGTAAGAAAAGAGATTATCATCATGTAGCCTTTCCATTAGCATGGGGAGTTTTTACCAGGATCTTATTGTTAATTCAATTATTAGTTCCAACTGTATAATGCAATTAGGTTTCTGTTTTGTGATTTTTGTATTAAGTGAGCATACGTCTTTCATTTATCAATTGATAATTGATAAATGAATATACTATCGGTAATTAAAAACTACAAACAATATAGTATATGAAATATATATATACTGGGTAATTTATATGGACACCCGCTTGTACCAAACCACAAAAATAAATATACACACACACACACATGTATATATATATATGAAGCATTGACTCTACCCTAAGCGCCTCTGCCTCCCGCCCCGCACCAGGTTCGGCCGCCGCACGATGACGCTGTACTGCGCCGTGGCCGCGACCGCCGCGGGTATCTGCGCAAGTTTCGTCAACACGTACACGTTTTTCCTCGTCATGAGATTCGTGATCGCCTTCTTGTGCGCGGGTCTCATGGTCATCACCTTTGTGCTCGGTGAGTGGTGTGGGCGTGGGGGTGATGATGGGACGTTATGATGATATGTAATGTTATTGAGGGTGGTCATGGTATCTTGTTATCATTACTGGTATCGATATTATGTCATGCTGTTGCTGTTATTCTTTATATAATTATCATATTCCTCTTATTACTAATTATGATCTCTATCATTCATTTTTGTCACCGCCATTACTATCGCTCCTTCCCCCTTCCGCCCAGTCTCCGAAGTCGTCAGCCCCTCCGCCAGGACGCTGACGGGGATGCTCTACGCCTTCTTCTTCGGCTCTGGCATCGCCATCCTGCCGGGCATCGCCTACTTCATCAGGAGCTGGAGGAACCTCGAGCTCACCATCGGGATCATGTCGGCAGCGCTCATGTCGTACTACTGGTGGGTTGAGGGGAGGGGAGGGGGGAGGGGAGTGGGAGGGGGAGAATGAGGGCGAGGGAGTAGGGAGGGAAAGGGAGAGAGGGAGGGGAGTAGGGAGGGTAAGGAAGAGGGAGGGAGGGGACGGGGAGGATGAGGGGAGAAGAAAGCATGAGTGCACATGAGCGGGATCGGGCGAGAGACGGAGGGGGGGGGGGGGGAGTATCGTGTGTTTATGTACGTATTAGTGAGCATGTGTGTCTCGCGCTTGTGTGCGAATGTATGTAGCAGAGGGTGAGCTGAAGTATATTTATGTGTTTATGCATATGTACGTGTATCTGTATGTATTCTTCCATGTGTACCGAAGAGTTTACAAATAACATACATACATCCCATTACATGAAAGCCCCCTTCCCCCTCCAAAATAAGGAATCATCATAAAAGATAAATAAAATAAAATATAATCATGAAAAAATAAAAGATCCGTCACCACCACTTTCCCTCCCACAGGCTTCTCCCAGAGTCCCCTAGGTGGCTGGCGTCCAAGGGAAGGACTCGGGAGGCGCTCAAGATCATGAAGTCCATCGCCAAGACCAACGGAAGAACCCTTCCCTCCGACGAGCACATGCTGGCTCTAATCTCGAGGGGGAGAGAGCAAGGGCAGGTGGGTAGGGGTGGAAAGGAGGTGGAAATGTGAGGGGAGAGAGAGAGAGAGAGAGAGAGAGAGAGAGAGAGAGAGAGAAGAGAGAGAGAGAGAGAGAGAGAGAGAGAGAGAGAGAGAGAGAGAGAGAGAGAGAGAGAGAGAGAGAGAGAGAGAGAGAGACAGAGCGAGCGAGAGAGAGAGAGAGAGAGAGAGAGAGAGAGAGAGAGAGAGAAGAGAGAGAGAGAGAGAGAGAGAGAGAGAGAGAGAGAGAGAGAGAGAGAGAGAGAGAGAGAGAGAAATGACAGACAGACAGACAGAGACCCCCATAGCCTACGCCCCTCCCTTTCCCCCAGCCCAAACCGGAAGAGAGCGACAACGCCGCCAACCAGTCGGGCGAAGGAGGCGCAGACGAAGGAGAGAAGGCAAGCAGGTGGTTCTCGGGCCTGACGGCGATGGCCAAGAGCCAGTTCACCCTCATCCGCACCCCAGTCATGAGGCGCCGCTCCCTCATCTCCTTCCTTGAGTGGTTCGTCGGCGCCAGCGTGTACTACGGACTCATCTTCTCAGGCAGCAACATCAAGGCGGACCCGTTCCTCATGATCTTCGTCTCGGGCGTGGTCGAGCTGCCTTCCACCGTCATCTTCATCTTCATCTTGGACAGGTGGGTCGGCGAGGGAGAGAGGAGGGAGAGGGAGGGAGGGAGGAGGAGGAGGGAGAGGGGTCAAAGAGGAAAGGGGGAGGGGTAAAGAGGAGTTGGTGAGGGAGTGAAGAGGGAGAGGGGGAGGGAAGGGAGAGGAGGCACGGGTAAAGAGGAGTGGGGAGTGGAAGAGAATGAGGGGGAGAAGGCGAAGAGATTAAATAATGGTGGATTTTACTGGAGGGAATATAGAGGGAGAGGGAGAGGGAGAGGGAGAGGGAGAGGAGAGGGAGAGGGAGAGGGAGAAGGGAGAGGGAGAGGGAGAGGGAGAGGGAGAGGGAGAGGGAGAGGGGAGGGAGGGGAGAGGGAGAGGGAGAGGGAGAGGGGGAAGGAGAGGAGGAGGGAGAGGGAGAGAGAGGAGAGGGAGAGGGAGAGGGAGGGAGAGAGAGGAGAAGAGAGAAGAGAGGGGAGAGGAGGAGAGAGGAGAGAGGAGGAGAGGGAGGGAGAGGGAGAGAGAGAGAGGAAGAGAGGAGAAGAGGAGAGAGGAGAGAGGGAGAAGAGGGAGAGGAGAAGAGGAAGAGAGGAGAGGGAGGAGGAAGGGAGGAGAGAGGAGAGAGGAGAGAGGAGAGAGGAGAGAGGAGAGAGGAGAGAGGGAGAGAGGAGAGAGAGAGAGGAGAGAGGAGAGGAGGAGAGGAGGAGAGAGAGAGAGAGAGAGAGAGGAGAGAGAGAGAGAGAGAGAGAGGAGAGAAGGAGAGAGGAGAGAGGAGGAGAGAGGAGAGGAGGAGAGGAGAGAGGAGAGAGGAGAGAGAGAGAGAGGAGAGAGGAGAGAGGAAGAGAGAGAAGAGAGGAGAGAGAGAGAGAGAGAGAGAGAGAGAGAGAGAGAGAGAGAGAGAGAGAAGAGAGAAGAGAGAGGGAGAGAGGGAGAGAGAGAGAGAGGAGGAAGAGAGAGAGAGAGCGAGCGAGAAGAGAGAGAGGAGAGAGAGAGAGCGAGAGAGACGAGAGAGAGAGCGAGAAGAGAGAGAGAGAGAGAGAGAGAGAGAGAGAGAGCGAGAGAGCGAGAGAATATAATAAGTAAGAGAGGGAGAGAGGGAAAAGGCAAGAAATAGAATCACATTGGTTCAAATCACCTTCGACACCAACATCCTCACCTATTCTACCGATTATTATCTCGTTATTGCCATCCGCTCGTAGGTTCGGTCGGCGGCCAACCATGTGCGGGCTCTTCCTCGTCTGCGGTGCCTGCTGTCTCCTCATCCTGGCGGTTCCCCAAGGTAAGGAAGGAGAGAGGAAGAGGGGAGAAAAAGGAGGAAAGGTTGAGAAAGAGAGGAGACAGAAAGAGAAAGGGAGATGGAGACAGAGAAAAGTGTGGAGGAGACAATGCCATAGTTATTTTTTTCTGTTGTCGAAAACTATATATTTTCCAAACAAAAGAGAGGAGACCCGATAAGGACCACATTAAAATAAAAATCACGAGAAACTTAAATATATTGACACTGCTTGCAAACAATATCTTCCCTCCTGCCACCAGATAAGATCTACATCAACTTCTTCCTGGTGAACCTGGGCAAGTTCTTCGACACGGCGGTCTTCCAGCAGTGCTACATCTACACGTCCGAGCTCATGCCCACTAGCGTGAGGAACATCGCCGTCGGGACCTCCTCGATGTTCGCCAGGATCGGATGTGTCCTCACGCCGTATGTCATCGAGCTTTTGGTAAGGACACTCGTGAAGGGAAGAGGAGGGAGAGGGAGTGGGAAGAGGGGAGGGGATGGAGGAAGGGAGTGAGTGGGGGGAGGGGAGGGTTAAAGGGATAGAAGAGGGAGAAGATAAGGTGGAAGAGAAAATGGGGGCCGGGAAGGGACGTCCTCGACGTTCGCCGGGATCGGCCGTGTCCTCACGCCGTATGTCATCGAGCCTTGGTAAGGGCAGTGGGAGAGGGAGGAGAAGGGGATGGGGGGAAGAGGGGAGAAGAGAAAGAGGGGGAGGGAAAAGGGGGGAAAGGGATGGAGGATAAAGAAGAGAGGGACCTTTTCGAAATTTGGATGCTTCAAAATATATATACTGTGAATTATAATCATATATCTATTCTGAATGCCCGCTTGAAGATAATTATCAAAATAATAACTATAAACTTCCAGCTTTCAGGTTTGCAGGTATATTGGCATGTGTAAGTATTAAAGCCCTGGCAAAGGCCCAAAATGATGTTACAACAATAAGATATTCGTAATCAGCATCAAAAACTACTATTACAACCATAAAATCAATATCTAAAAAGTGGTCCCATGTATAACTTAATAAACGTGAGGGAGATACAGGCTGTATGATGTATGACGGTTTCTTGAACGTCTATATCTTTGGAACCAAAAGGAGCTGGGCCTCGTTGGACCACTCGCTTGCAAGGTCTGCTGGCCGGACATGTTGTAGGATAAATCTAATCCGGACCCGCCTGCTCCGAGTAAGGCCATTGCCCGAAAACGGACTATCAAGCAAAAAGTCGTAACCCTTATATCGTTGAAGTTAAATCAAGTCGAGTCATTCGACCATGGTTCTAAGAGGCCAATGGGTATCCCATGCAGTGGTTTAGTATCTTAATTGGCCATCCCAAAACCTTGGTGTTTGAAAGGTTTTGAGTTGTGGTAATACATGGTAATCGTTTAAACTGAGTATGTATTAACCAGGATAAGCATAAAAAGACTTGGTTGACCCACAACGATGCGACCACAAGATCTGTAACTTCACATATATAGAAAAATAAACGCAATGAAATGTATTGGGATTAAGCATACCATACAAGAACATAAAGAGCTTCCTTTTATGTCTTTCAGGGTGACGTTCACTACGCTTTCCCTTCGACTCTCTTCGGTATTCTGGCTGTCTTAGCTGGCCTCCTCACCCTCCTACTACCTGAGACCAACAAGAAGCCCTTACCAGAGACCGTGGACGAGGTTGAAGCTATGGGCAAATAAGATGGGAAGAAGCCGTGGCCACAAAACGAACACAGGCGAAACTTTGCTCAAAACTTTTGTGTATAAATATATTTTTACTAATTCTTTTAGGTTTGTCGTTTCGTGTAAAAAAGTGTAATACTTTATGCGTGCTATGCTAAATAACAGTTAGTGAATTTACGACGTTTACTGAACCTTTAAAGATAAGCTGCAAAATGGTACAGAGTACAACAAATTTCTTGAATGCTTGCAAAAAGACGACACTGAAACACGGACTTTTTGGAATCAGTGAGCGAGAGAGAGAGAGAGAGAGAGAGAGAGAGAGAGAGAGAGAGAGAGAGAGAGAGAGAGAGAGAGAGAGAGAGAGAGAGAGAGAGAGAGAGAGAAAATTTGCAAACAAGTGTGTATAGAGGACCCTTTAGAACACAATAAACGTCTTTCATGAATATATATGTTCAAATAATGTGAGCATATTTAGGAAGATAAGCAGAATGCTACAAGACCCAGTGGTAATTTATGAACAAGAGGAAATAAGTGTACTGGGAAGGAAATAAGATGCTTTTTTATCATTTATTTATCATTCACACACTACATACCACAAACTGAAATAAAAAGTTGAATAAACCAAGTATAAAATAGACACGCACGCATGTACAACCATTCCAAGTTGACATGATTATTAAAATAAAGGTAGCACTTTAATTGACCAGTGATCGCAGCAACAGTCACAGCAGCTATTCACATATTAACAATCATGAGTCATATGAACCACAATAAAATTAACAATTTATTAATGCCTATGCTTTATAAAAAGAAAAATGCTCCTCTACAAAAGATCATATTCCTCGCAACCATTAAAAAAATATAATGAAAGAAAATGAAGATTCCAAATTGTGAATGTACTAAGGAACTAATTAAAACTCCTACATTCTTTGGAAATTGTCAATACATCTTTAGAGACTTCCTGTAATGCATACAGCCATGTCAATGTATCTAAAATAATGCTTCCAAAGTTACAAATTCTCCTATACCTGCTAATACTCGGACATACAAAATCACATACCCCACACTGAATGCCACAGAACACATTCATCTATGTCTTTTCTACCCTATCCCCTAAGAAAAAAATTGAGAAAAATAGTTGATTATGTACAATATGGAAATAAGAATTAAAATTATAAAAAAATAATAAGGGTTAATAAAAATGTACATATTCTATGTGATCAATTTTCACCAGAAAGTTGAAAAAAAATTATTAATTGAATCTGGATCTAACTTTTCCCAAGCAGTCAACTAACTGTCAGTCTCTAAACTCCCTCATTCCCAATCCCCAAACGGAATGGAATAGCAACAGTCACTTCCTCTATTTCCGTCTGGTGGGCTCGGATGCAGTGGGCGGGGGTGGGGGGCCGCGCTTCTCCAGCTCCTCCATATAAGCCATAAGGATCTTAGAGCGCTCCTCTGGCTGGCAGTCAAGGACTAGGTAACGTCGATCCTTTCGCAGCACTTCCAGGATATCACGCTGATGCTGCTCACCCTCACCACACATCTTTAACGAGCGGTGGGTGATGCACTTTGTTTCCTAGGTTTGGGAGGAAAAATTATATTCGTGGTAATCTTTTTTTTCTTTCCCTTACTAAGATGTTTACATGCACATATACATACTGATATTTTACATTAGACTAACAAAAGAAATATCTAGAAGAAGAACAAAGTTATTTTGAAACAAGGCAGCTTCTCACCTTCAAAAGTTCCCTAAAATCTGCCTTAGCTGCCACCAGCTTGTCCTTGAGGTATTCACGGAACTCTCTCTCACATTTCTTGTCTGAAGATGAGAACTTGGTGTAGCGGGGGTCATCTTTGAGCTCCTTCTTCAGGTCCTTCCAGTTGGAGGCCAGATGCAGATCAGGCAACTCCTCCAGAAGTTCCCTAAAGGATGAGTGAATACTTTAGTTTTGCTGTAACAAGTCAGAATGAAGTTGAGACACTACAAATATAGGTTTATGTAAAAATTATTAAAAAAGGAAAAGAAAAAGCTCTATGTGAGGATATGGATAAAAAATTGGCACTTCGCCTCTTTTCTAACGTCCAATTTTCCATAAAGTTCTGTTGCTACTTGCAACAAAGATGACAACAGAAAAAGAAAAAAAGAAATCAGAGAAAAGAGTATACCTGAACTTCTCTCTTTTGCGCTTAGTCAGATTTTCGACATGGTTGTTGAAGAGCTTCTCTTTTTCCTCCCGGTCTAGCGCTCCAGCTGACTCCCAGCGGGAGTCCTTCTTGAGGGACTTTTTAGCCTCTTTCCAGGTGTAGTCTGTGCTCCGTACCTGGAACAAAGGAAACTGCAACATTACTTTTTAGAGCCCATCCTTTGGTGGATCAGTCTACATTCCAAAAAAATTAAGGAGTGTAAGCCCCTAGACCTAGCTCAGTAGAAAAATAGTAGCCTCATTTTCACTTATTCTTTAACTCATTAGCGACGGGTGTCCCATATATGAGACACCCGAAAAAATAAACATTGCCAGGCGTCCCGCCAGTGTGATGCCCCGATGCAGCAGCGGGCTGCGGCGGGCGGGCGGACGGACTCTACGGAAGCTCCGCCCGCCGATTTTATATCCACCCGGAATATTTTATTTCTTGCTTCAAAATACCCCGGCGTGAATGGGTTAAGAGGACTTACTCCCAAAAATGCAAATTTTCTTTTTTGGGTGGGGCTAATGATGTATATCTTTTATCCTTTATTTTTTGTGCATAGCAAACCCCCTAAAGCTTTAATTTCAACTCATTTAAACAATTTTTCATCAAACTTTGTTGGCAACACTATTAACACTAGCAACTCGTGCATGGATATAATTGAGTTGAAATTAGATATTATTCAAGTAGCTTTCCCTTATCTGTCGTAGATATTGATTTGAGAGAAAAAATCCATGTGATTTCTTCACACAAAAAAAAATAAATATATAATATATATATATATATATATATATATATATATATATATAATATATATATATATAAATATATACATAAATATATATATATATAAATATATATATATAAACCACCTACTCAAACTGCCTTATTTTGTCTTTTCCAATTCCAATAACAAAAAACTCTCTCTCTATTTGCAACAGATTAAAAGAATAAATGGAAGCTTTAATTTAACCCTTCCGTGGCAAAGTGTGGCAACTATGCTCCCAATGGCAAATAGTGGGCGGCTGCTGCAGTTGGCAATGCTGGTTGCCTTTCCCGAGGGATATTATTTATCTCCCTTAGTAGCGACAACATTCATAAGGTCAAACTTTATGGCACTAGCATGTAAAGTGAAGGTAAACCTTTACTTTTTTGAAGTTTTAGAAATGATAACCAAATCAATGGTTTTAAGTGCCTAATGTTGTTCACAAACTACCGAACAAGCCAGGCGCAAACTGGGGAACTACCACATGCCAATAATTCTGTTCATGGTGGCACTTTCCCAACCCCCCTAAAAAAATTCAGAAACGGAGGTTTCATATTTCCTTAAAATTCATTTTACTGAAATTGATAATGAAGTACCACACACAATGATTTTCTTCTTCATGAGTATTAGTATGTTGCTTAAAGGTATCCTTCCTGAATTCACCAGAACATCCACTAAATTTCTACAGTTTGACCTCTTTAACAAGTACTTATTAGGATGTCTTTTTATAACACAATTTTTTTTTTTTGTTACTTAGAATTAAATCACCTGTATACAAAAAATTACGGTAGGTCTCCATATGCAAGTAATAGTAGATTTTTTTTATCCTAATCATCAATTAAATCTACGCAAGATGTAATACAAAATTAAACCCAAAACCAAAATACACCTATTTTTGATTAAATGTCCCTCATACTCTGGCCTGTCATTTGAGCTCCCTACATGAGCTGCAAATAGAAAACACCTAGCGCATAACACCAAGAGTGCTAGACTCACCAAGTCGGCCAAGAGCGCATTAAAATTGTGCACGGCCTCATCGTGCTTGTGCTGCATGCGTTCCTTGTCACGGTCACGGAGGTGGCCTGCTAGTGCACGCTGGACTTCTTCCTCTCGCTTTCTGAGTGACTCCTCGATCCTTCTTTGGCGCTCCCGCTCCTCCTCTTCTGCCGCTTCATTGGCCTCTCCATCCTCACACTCCTCCTCAGCTCCATCACTCCCTGTATCTTCACCCTGAAAGGAGGCAACAAAAAAATGGATTGTGGTTCCTTGTCTATTGAAGAAACTTTAAAAGCTGAAGCCATTCCATCTCTAACACTAATAAAAAAGCAGTCTAGTAGTTCTTTATATGAAAATTAATGGGGAACATACTACATTATCATGCACATCTAACCTCACTATAACTAAACAAACATCACAGACTCTGGAAAAATAAGCATTGAATACAGGTTGCTTAGGTCCAGGAGGAGGGGAAAAACCAAAGTAACCTCATGCTTCCCTATTTACCCTTCTTAAGGTCTATTCCACACCTGGGTTCCTACAGAGCTAACTGACATCAAGGAAGACTCATACCATGCCAGGCAATTTGACGCTCCTAACCTCGCTCTTATGGTTGTCTTCCACATCTTCTCCCTCTTCATGGTTGTTGTCATGTGCTTCTTCCTTTTCCTTCTCCTTTTCTCTTTCCTTCTCTTTCTCCTTCTCCTTCTCCTTCTTCTCCTCTCTCTCTCGCTCCTTGTCTTTGTCCTTGTCTCTCTCCTTGTCCTTCTTTTCCTTCTTCTTCTCCTTGCGGTCCTTTGACCTTTCCCGCTCCTTGCTGCGGTCCCTGGACTCTCTGCTTCTCCTTTCCCTCTCTTTCTCTCCTCTCTCTCGGTCTCTTTCTCGCTCCCCTCCTCCTCTTTCTCTTTCACGGTCCCTGTCACGATCTCTTTCCCTCTCACGGTCACGGTCACGGTCACGGTCCCTTTCCCTATCACGATCCCTGGATCTGTCACGCGAACGCCTTCGCTCTTCTTTGATCTGAGATAAAACAATAATAATAATAATAATATTAAAATCATTTCCTCCATCCACATTTAAATGCATACAAATAAAAATAAAATAAAACTACACATTGTGTGTAACACTGAATAGTTTCATATAGAAATGACATTGTAAACATATGGCACTACAACATACTTTGACCATGTAGTCCCTGAACCAGTCCTCACGCTGCACACTTGACTCAACAGCCTTGTATCTGGGATCACTGTCAAGCTTACGCTTGACATCAGACCACCGACTGTGGCGATCAATGTCTGCCTCCTTCAGCATGGTAAAGAAGTCCTTTTTGATCTATGGTTGGGAGAAACAATTGGAAATGTTATTTACTTGGGAAACTTTAGGAATCATCAATTTTTTTTCTTTTATGCAACTAAGTTTTAATGTTATCGGCTCTCTGTAAAGCAAGAGGATTATGCGCTTGCGCGCGCTCGCTCTCGCTCTCTCGCTCTCGCTCTAGCACACTGCCAAAGATGAGGGAGGGGGAGGGGAGGGAGGAAAAAAAGGTTAAACAAAAATCCTATTAAATACAGAGCCTGTAGGGATGGAAGCTTTTTAATATTCCAAGGGTACAGGAGCACCTGAAAGGAAACTGTATTCTCATGTTGGAAAAAAAGTTAAATTAAAAGGAAACAGGGGACGTGAACCACCATCCATCATCCTAACTTTAGTTGTATTCAAGTGACTCTCTTTTTTGTGTTTTTGAGAAGGACACTTTATTTTCTTCAAGAATATAAAGACAATTATTTTCTAGTAATGTTTGCATTTTGTATTGAGATATACATTGACAATACTGCTCTTTATATATATATTTACAAAAGAAAGCATTTCTTTCTGAGTCAATCATGCATAATTACAAAAGGACCTGAGATGACATACTAAGGCTCGGTAAGTGAGGATCACAAAATATGACAAACATGACGCACCTTAAATGCTGTGCCTTTTATGAAGGATCCAGATTTTTCTTTTTAAAAGAACCTACAGGAATGGCATAAGACCAAAAAAAACAAGGAACCTTAAAACTTCAAAACAGCACTGAAGGTTGTGATCATGTTTGATTGACTTTAATTGTCTACATAGTAACATTCAGAATAAATAAACATCTGTGTACGGGTAGGAAACAAAGCAACTGCTGGTTATTATTTCCCAAATAATAATAATTATCTGCAACTACATTTCTGACTCTGCTTACAGACTTAATACTAAAAAATATCTTCAAAAAAAAATTACAAAAATAACTCATGAACTCTGTACAATCTTCCAGGGAAACAAAATTTCAAATGGATATATATATATTTTAACACTGTATATCTTCACTCATAATTTGCTTTATATCATCAATTCAGCAAACAAAGTTGTACTATCTGTGAGTGATCATATATATATCTGAGTGCAAAATGAACAATAGTAGTAGTATAGTAGTATAGTAGTAGTAGTATTTGACAACTGACTTGAATTTTACTGATTAAAACGTAGCAAGAGATGGCTCAGTACCAAAAACATTACATGCGCTTGGCTTTATCCCGCTCGCGGGCAGAGAATAAATAGAGAGGGTTGTGGTGATGGTAGGAGTGGAGGTGACGGAGGACTCTCGACCAAGTGGGCCACCCGGACCTTCCAGCCAGCACCGGCAGCGGCAAGGGGCTGCAATGCGCGACCCAACATCAACAAATGTCATCACAGCAGGGGGATGC